AAAAAAAAAAAAAAATAAATAAAAAAAAAAACACATCATAGTAAAATTAATACCTTCTCAGCTTCGCATCGAAGCTAAAATTGAAAAAATGGCGAAAATTAGTGATTTTTAAATTTATAATTTTTTTGGAGATTTTCCCCATTTACGGGGAACAGGGGAATATTTTTCAATTTTTGAGGGTAATTTCTTCGACTACATATGATTTGTGATTTTTTTACGCATCGTTGAAAGAAATCGGTTCGGTGAGAGCTGAGAAAAAGTGGTGACACAAAAAAAAACACATCATAGTAAAATTAATACCTTCTCAGATTTGCATCGAAGCTAATAAATTATCTATGCTTCTCTTTATCATACATTATATTGTGAATTAATTTTTCACTTGTTTAATTTAATTAATATTCTATTTTAAATTTACTTTTAGAAAAATTAAATTAAAAATATTAATTATAATTTTCTATTTTTGTTCTTAATATTTTCTACATTTCTAGTTCTACACAAAATTCATAATAGATATTATATTTATGTAAGCAGTTATAATATACATATTTAGAATTCTAATAATATTATTGTATTAACTGATTGTATCGTATACAATACAACTAAAAAATACTGCTTACATTTGTTTGGGGGAATTTCATTTTCTATTACCGTCTACCCTGACAACCGGCCGGCGTCATGATATGCTGGCAACGATTTCATACTCTTATAAATACAACAATGTCATATTGTCAGCTGCCAGGTGGTTATGATAGGTGGGGGTCAATAAATTTCGCAAACCGTTAACTGGCGGCTTATTATCAAATCCTGATAGTCAGTATGTCGACATTCGGTGATTGTCTTTGCGACACGGCTCCCCGTTTATACGTGAGTATTGCAATCAATAAAATCAATACCGCAAATATAATATGAATTATCAAATGTATAAACTAACAGACTTTTGTGTTTGAACTCTAAAGTTTAAAACATTCAACCTTTCTTCAAATCGGCTCTCACTTTTTTGGAATAAAACAGGTAAGTTTATACTTTGTTAAATTTATAAATTCTCACAAACCTAATTCAACTTATATATAATATATAAAATTTAATACTTATATAGTAAAAATGTTTTTATATTATTTTAATATCATTCACTTATATTTAGTAAAGGTAAGAATATAATATTAAAGGGTAGTTGACGAATTAGTCTCCATACAAATTAAAAAAATTACATTAATTTTCATACAAAGTATTTTTTAGTATGAGGGTAAATACTATTTACACCCTTAAACATTTTATTCTAGTTTTACGTACGAATAAAATACAAATTTTTATCTTACATGTTAATATTTGTTTATTTTTAATTCATAATTAATAATTATTAATATTAATTGAAATATCATACAAAAGTAATTTATAATGAAACGTTACATAATTATATAACGACTATAAGTTGTATTAGAACACTATTTATAAAAATTACCATCATAGAATAACTATTAATTTTAGTGTTGAAAATTTAATTAAACGCAATTTATTTATTAAAGCTATAATAAATAAATGTATATTTTGTGTTTGGATAATTAAAAATAAGCTCATGAATACTTATAAGATAATGACTTTCGTAAATCATTTTTTTTGTATAATATTATGCAGTTAAAATTAGCTATAAAGGATGAGGTCCCTTGCAAATATTTTAAGAGTTGACGGCAATGAGCTCTATCAACATCTATTAGGTAAATTGATAATTAAAATTTATTTTTAAAATTATTCGTCCTAGAAAAATTTCACTAATATCTTTTTCAATGAATCGATGTTAAGCAATCTCAGTTTGTGCTTGTTTTTCTTCTTTAAAAAAATCAATAATATTATATATACATATACATTAATTCAATTGGTAAGTGTATAAACATTAAACCTAATTCTATAATTATATCTTTCAGTTTAAAAAAAGTCTTCGAACTGAATTCATAAACTGTTCTTATCATTAATTAATAGAATATTGATAGTTTTAATGTGATTTGGTTAATGTTGTTTATATATAAATATGAAATAACATAAATATATTGATATACATTGTCCGAAAATAAACGAAATAAACGTTGACATTTTTCATAGTGACGGCATTGATACACTGAGCATTGAATTTAAAATTTATTTTATTAATAAATTGTTTTTAAAACATTTATTAACCATCTATTAAAGATACTTTTAATATTTGGTTTTTAACACGTGTGTTATAAATAATGATTTTAAAAATTACTCACCTGAAAAATTAAAAAAAAAATCAATTATTATCTTTTTCATCCTTAAATAATTTTTTATGAGAAACAATGGTTATTCCTATATTTTAAATAATAAAAAAATTTAAATCCCCATGACACACTTTAATTTAACTCATACTGTCTATGCTTCTGTTCTTTTATTATTAGAAATATTTTAACTAGAGATTAATTTAAAGCGAATTGATCTGTAATGAAATGTAGCTCTTTTATTCGGTTAATATCAATAATATATTGAAATCAAAAATATTTTTTACTTTTCTGTTGAATCATATACTTGAGTTGCAACAATAGGTACACAAAGAGAATACGTTCAACATTGAGGTAGAAATATTACTTGGAATGATTTGGATAATAACTCTTAGATTCTATAGTACTATTGTTTCGTGTTATAAATTCAAAAACTTAGTAATTATGATTACTGCTCATCGCTAATCCCTTCGTTGCTGAAGAAATTATTTTTTATTCTCATGAGTTGCTAAAAATTTTATTTTTGTTTATAAATTGCATATAAGTACGCGTNATTTTATTTTTGTTTATAAATTGCATATAAGTACGCGTATACACAATATTATAACTATTATATACCAGCGTAATTTGTATTCTGCATTTTCTACAAGATAAAACTATGTAATAAATTGATGACAACAACAAATACACTCTAGTCTACATAAGACGAAAGAGTATTAAAACGATTACATAATATGTAATTAAATAATATATAATATGTAATTAAAAAAATGTGATAAGATATATTATATCTTATCACATTTTTTTAATTACAGTTTAAATTTTTTATCACTTGTACTTATAATAATAATATTCCAATATTATTTTTATGATTTATATAAAAGGTATTTCACAAACTTATTATGAACATTAACTAACACAATACTTACTTTTGTTCTACCAGTAGTATAGTCATTATATATATATATTTATTAAAACCATAAATAACAGTATATATACTTTGGTATTTTAATTTACAAATAGACGACTTTAAAATAGCATCAAACCCCAAAAAGGTGCTAATTTTTTTTTTTATACTTTTTAATGTAAAAGTAATATTTTTTTAAGTTAGTTTGTTCTTTTACAGTTTTTATTCATAACACTTTTAAAAAATAATAGTACGCATTGAGTTCTGTACGTGATAATCGGCATACATAATGATATCTCGCGATAAAACTTATTTTTCAATACCCTCATAAAGATTTTTAGCTTCGATGCGAAGCTGAGAAGGTATTGATTTTACTATAATGTGTTTTTTTTTTTTTTTTGTCACCACTTTTTCTCAGCTCTCACCGAACCGATTTCTTTCAACGATGCGTAAAAAAATCACAAATCGTATCTAGTCGAAGAAATTATCCTCAAAAATTGAAAAAATTTCCCTCGGTTCCCGTAAATGGAGGAACCTCCAAAAAAATTACAAATTTAAAAATCGCTAATTTTCGAAATTTTCGAAATTTTTTTTTACTTAAAACTTTTTCAAAAATGAACAAATCAATATAATTTATTTTTTGTAGATGTTTGATGTCTTTAACTATCGTTTGGTATATTTTTTTTATAAATTTAACCCTTTACCAGCCCACAAGGAGGGATTCAAAATGACAACTTTTTCACAAAAAATTAACTTTTTAAAGTGTTCCGGAAATACTGACCCTTTTATATATATATTAGATTAAAGCCTATGAAATATACTTTAATATTAAAAATTCGAACTTTATTTTGTCTTCATGATGAAAATAGTTACTGTATTCAAAAATATGCTATTTTTGTGTTAAAATTCTTGGTTTTGTATTTTATTTTATTATAAGGGAATTACACTGATTTTCATAAATATTGTATCAATCTAATTGATATAGTATAAAAAGTTAAACATATTTAAATTTTTTTGTTTCTTTGAAGTCGAGAAAAATAACTTTAAAATTTGAACTAGCTAAATTTCTATTTTTATTAACTGACGAATGCTACCCATGGTTTCTGAGACGGTAACACTTGGGTCTTTTACGCCTGTGGCACTGAATTTTTTCTTAATTCTTTTTGAGTTAGAAAAAGATGTTTAACCCATTTGATTTTTATCTCATTTAGATTCAATAACTTCAATAAATATCCGGGCAAATTGTTTTTCTTACATTTTTAAAAAAGTGGTTTAAAATATCACATACTTTATACGTGTTGTCACGTAAACAAAATCGTGTAAAAATATTCAACTTAAATAGTTTTATAGAATCTTGATACTCTATCATTCGCGAAAAACAAATTTTTTTTCGGTTACGCAGAGTGTTAAAAACTAAAAATATCTTTGTGATTCTCTTTAAATTTAGTCGGGTGTGAATGGTTGTATAACATCAGGAAAATATCTTTAACAAAGATATAATTGTGGTATATAACAATGGCATGACTTTCTTTTGCTTATATAAAACAGGGCACCACCACTTTAAAATATTGTTTTTTTATACAGATTTCATTTTAGAAACAAGTTCAAAATTCTGACTAAGGAAAAAAATTATTGTCATTTGTTTTATAAAATGTTTAGTAAAACTTTTAATCTGTTCGATAATACAACAAGTTTTATTTCTTATTTATAAATTTGGAGTTTTTCTTTATTCCATATAATATTTCAAAGAAAATCTGCTATTGATGATTAAGTGACCTTTAAATTGAAAAATTGTTCATTCAAAAAGGCTAAGAAAAAAATATAAAACTTTGAAATGTATATATTAAAATTTTAATTTTTCAAGTGTTGGTATATAATACAGAGTGATTGACTAACTATGCCTCACGAATTATCTCTGAAAATATAAGAGTTATAAACAATTTTTTTTTTTAATCAT